GTGTCTAAGTCCATAACTATATTTGGTATGTACTTGACCCGACCCGGTATGGTCCATTTGGGTTGCATGGCATTGCAATGCTTGGATAGACCAAAATGAGAGAAAGGACACTTAAGGTTATTAATATATTATAAGTTCTAATATATTAATAATATTATTTAATTAGTATTGATCAAAGAATTAATTTGGAATTAATTAAGTGATCAAAAAGAGACTAATTAAATATATGGGGTTGATTGTGTAAATCATCTATTCTTGTATAGTGGGCTAATGATCCATGGTTTGTTGGATTGGGCTAAAACCCATAAGGTGCTCCATGGATAGTCCATGGAGGTTACAAACCCATGGATCATGGAATATGGAAAGCCATGACAATTAGGGTTTACATGGTGTAAACCTAATTGTGCCACAACTATAAAAGGATCCCTAGACTAGCAAAATCGGCACTTGTACAAGCAAGAAAGAGGGCTAGCCGATTTTGAGGTGTTAGTGAACTTGTCTCAAGGTTATTCCAAGTATTATGGTGTTGTATGAGACATTTGAGGCATCACACTTGAGGTGCTAGGCTCACAAGGTTTTCAAAGGAATCCAAACAACATAAGGTATGTTCTACAACTAGCATTTATGTTTAAAAGTTACCCATGCTATGCTAGATAGGTTATGAACCTTGGAAATCAAATTTGCATGTATCATAGAAAACATAGATCCAAGGTTTCTAGGGTTGCATGTACACCATAGGAGTGTTAGTATGCTCAAAACCCATCAGTGGGTCAGGTGGCTTCCTTCAATTATGATAGTTGGGGTTTATTGACTCTCCATCAGAGGGTGTTGGTCCCTTATTGGGGTGGTGCGCATCAGGTTCTGATGGAGAAGGCACACAAATCAAGATTTTCCATTCACTCTAGGGCGACGAAGATGTATAGAGATCTTTGTCCTGATTATTGGTGACCCTGTATGATGCGGGATATAGCTTGGTATGTGGAGAGGTGCTTAACTTGCAGGAAATTCAAGGCCAAACATCAGCGACCTCATGGCAAGATGCACTCAGTAGCCATTCCCGTTTGGAAATGGGAAGAGATTACCATGGATTTCATTACGAAGTTGCCTCGGACAGCGTGCAGAGTGGATTCGATTTGGGTCATCCTGGATCAAATGACCAAGAGTGTGCACTTTATTCCGATTCAAGAGAGTATCTCTGCGGAGAAGTTGGATGAAATTTATATCAAGGAGGTTGTGGAACTGCATGGGGTGCCGGTTTTTGGTTATTTCAGACAGGGATGTCCGGTTTACTTCCAGATTTTGGAAGAGGTTCCACGAAGAGCTGGGTACTCGTCTATATTTCAGCACGACCTTTCACCCGCAGACATATGGTTAGAGCGAGCGGACCATCAAGACATTAGAGAATATGCTGCGGGCATGTGTTCTGGATTTCGGCGGTAGCTGGGACACGTATCTTCCTTTAGCGGAATTTTCTTATAACAATAGTTACCACGCCAGCATTGATCGACCTCCTTTTGAGATGCTTTATGGGAGGAAATGCAGGACCCCGATATGTTGGGGTGAGGTTGGTCAGCAAGTCATAAGGAGTACCAAGGTGGTACTCAAGACCACTGAGTTGATTCAGTAGGTTCGGAGTAGACTTTAGATAGCTCAGAGTCGGCAGAAGAGCTATTCTGACAAGCGTCGATCAGACCTAGAGTTTCAGGTTGGGGATATGGTTCTCCTGAAGGTGTCACCTTGGAAAGGTGTCATCTGATTCAAGAAGCGGGGCAAGCTGGGCCCCAGGTATATAGGTCCTTTCAGGGTTGTAGCCCAGGTGGGTAGGGTAGCTTATCGATTGGATCTTCTGGAGGAACTCGGTCAGATTCACAGCATGGTTCATGTCTCTCAGTTGCGGAAGTGTTTGGGTAATGATTCCGCAGTGCTTCCATTGGAGGATATTCAGGTGGATGACTGCCTAAACTACATTCAGAGACCGGTAGCAATCCTCGACAGGAAGACAAAAACCTGGAGGAATAAGGTTGTTTAGTTGGTGAAGGTGCAGTGGCAGCACTGTAAGGGTACAGAATGGACGTGGGAGCCGGAGGATGAGATGAGGGAGCATTACCCAGAGTTATTTCCAGCAGCGGACTTCGAGGACGAAGACTGATTCAAGTAGGAGAGAATTGTAGCATTTGAATATCAGGAATTTCCCTTTTAGCCCTTAACCTATTTGAGTTTGCACATTTGGTCCCATTTAGTGACTTTCGCATTCCATATCATACATTGGGCGTACATGTGGGTACGTGCAGCGTACTCATGTGATCTGATCACGGAACCCATGCTAGTACGCTGGGCGTACGTGTGGTTCGTCGGGCGTACTAGCTCAGCCTCAAAACCCTAATTTTAAGGGTTTGCTTCCATATTTAAACTACCTTATGCCTCCCTTGGATATTCCTTATCAGCCATCTTCCCTCAAAAACCCTAATCTCGAGCTTAAGCCTTGTTTGTGAGAGTTTGGAGCGTATTAGTAACTTTTGGTGCTTATTTTTTGAAGAATAAGATTATTGAAGAAGGAGGTGTTGCTTGCAAGCTTATAGATCCAGAAACAACTCCTCCTTGTGCATATTTAGAAAGTATAAAGTCTATACCTTGATGTGTTTCCTTTTTGATCTCCGTAGTTGGGTTTTATGAACTTTTTGTCCCAAAGTTTGGACCTTTATGAGTTTAGGACACTCCAGAGCATATTAGTTGTCCTTTCATGCATGATAGGTCTTGTAGATTCATAAAAATGGCTCCTTGACGGTCCTTTTTCTGTCCATGCAAGAGTTTGGTGGTGATGAGTGTGGATTAAGTTAGAGTTTTAAGATTTAAGCCCTTTTCAACCATGCAAAGGCTTAAAGTTTTAGACTTTATGGATTAAGACATTTTAAGAAGGTTAGATCTATGATTGGATGTATGTCTTAATGATTAAGACCTTTTGGTTTGGTTTTTGGGGTCAGACGGAGTACACCCCGCGTACTACTGGCTACGCCTGTCGTAGCCAGGTGAGACGTCGATCCCACCTGATTCCCGAAGTACGCCCAGCGTATGCGCTGAGTAGTTGACTTTTATTGACTTTTGGACTCTTGGTCAAGATTTAGGGTTTTTTACCATGGGATGAGCAAAATGGTATTTTTTTCTTTTAAGGGGTTGGGTTGTGGGTCTTGGACTCACGGTTTGAACAATGGACCTTAATTATTAATTAGAGTTAATTATTGTGTTATTAGGCGGGGACTAGTTCCGGCAGTTCGGGTGCGAGATTTATCAGTTTTTAGTATCAGGTGAGCTTCCTTCACTATATATGTGGGTCGAAGGCACCAATGTCGCCCCACTAGTTTATGATGTAGTGTGATGATTGTTTTCGTGACAATTTTCAGTTATGTTTGTATTTGCTTGATGAATCTATGATTCTTTGTTATGATATTATATGGTAGTGGTAGGGTTGAAATAGACCTGGTATCCGGTTGAAATAGACCGAAGGGGATTGCAAGCGCCTAGATATGCTTGACTGTATCCGGTTGAAATAGACCGAAGGGGATTGCAAACACCCATATATGCTTGATTGTATCCGGTTGAAATAGACCGAAGGGGATTGCAAGCACCCAGATATGCTTGGTTGTATGTTGTATGGTATGGGGTATTTTGGGGGAACTCACTAAGATTTGTGCTTACGGTTTTCAGTTTATGTTTCAGGTACTTCCAGTTCGAATGGGAAGGGTCCGGCCTGATCGCACCGCATCACCCTATGGTTTCTGGATTTTAAGATTTTGGGAATTTGTACTCTGATAATATGTTACTATGATACACTTTTGACTGTTTTGATATAAGTATTTTGAATGAATTTAAAATCAAAATTTTATCTGTATTTTTGGGATGTTACTCTCTCTCTCTCTCTCTCTCTCTCTATATATATATATATATATATATATATATATATATAATGTGATCCATTTCAACTATACTTTGGACGTGTTCGACAACAAACTTATAAGCCCTTTTAAAAGTTTTTATCTAGGCATCAGTATTTTGACCGTTTGGACCTGAATTGATATTTTAACAATTAAGATGGTTCACGGTTCCAAGATTTTGGGTTTTCCAGTTCCTGGTTCCACTGGTTCTAGTTCCATCAATTCCATTAAAAAAACAACACTTGATCGGGTTTCGAATTGGACATAAAATTGTGTAATATGTTGTGTTGTAGAAATCCTATGAAATCATAGAAAAATTCAGTAAACATGAGGTCATTGTTATTTGAAGGGTATAAGGGTCTACTTTATTTCTTATTTAGAAGTTAGAAACTAATTTTGAGTGTAAAATGGTTAATAAACTGTTTGAACTGAAGGCTGGAAAATATTATTGTTGTTGAACTGCAGTAGCTATTGTACTGTATAAATCATATAAATTCATAGAAAATCCAAATAAAGATGAGGTTGGTGTTATTTTAAATATATAATTGTCTAGTTTATTTCTTATTTAAAAGTAGAAACTAGTTTTCAATATAAAATGGTTTAAAATGTGTTTGGATAAAAGGTTGGAAAATGTCATTGTTGTTGAAATTGATAGTTGTTCTATTGTAAATATTTTAACAAATCAAAGAAAAATTCAGTGAACATGAGATCATGTCATTTGAAAGATGTAAGGGTCTATTTGATTTTTTATTTAAAAATCAGAAATTAATTTTGAATGTAAAATAGTTAAAAACGAAAAAGAAATAAAAAACTGAAAGAATAGACTATTGGATTAAAGAAAAAGTTTAATTTAAAAATACTATTGAATTAAAGAAAAAGTTTAAAAATCGGTTCCTGTCGGGTCTAGAGTCTAGACCTTTGCCCATCCCTACTTTTAGTTTTAAAATACTATTGAATTAAAGAAAAAGATTAATTTAAAAATAAAACCTTAAACTTTTATTTTATAATCAAAAAGTTACTTCAAATAGTTTTTTGAAACTGTCAAATATATCAGATACATTCAAATACATAAACCCCACATTATATCAAACATCACCGATACTCTTCAAGAATTAACTTGTGCCACAGTTGTTTCTTCAAACAATCACATGACCTTAAATAAAGAAAATAAAAAAATAATTGTTCAAATGGGACGACTTCGTCACCTATACAAACAATAAACTTAAGGTAAAAGACTTTTTCGCGACACTTTAGTAATATACAGCACTAAAAGTGAGCCATTAATCTATTTGCCTTTTCCGACACTTATCAAGGGTTATTTACGACACTATGTGAAGTGAATCTCATTCGCCTAATGCAATGACAACAAAAACATCATCTAGCGACCATTTAACAAGCTTATTTTTATCCACAGGATTTATCACCGCACGTTCAGCTGTCGCTAAACGATAGCCTATTACAATTTCATGCCTTTCGCGACCCCTTATCATGATGTCATAAAAACAGAGTTCTTCTTGATCATAAAGATAGAATTCCCCTGGCTTAATGCACATCTCGTTTCCCTGTTAAAATATAAAGTTAAACATTTAGTTTTGGAAGTTTCAGTTGGGAAGTAAGTAGTGTTTGGATACTACCTCTTCTGCAAAAAGTTCTTCAAGGACACGATTGATCTGTTTATCTTCAGCTACCATTGCTAAAGCCATGCTCACAAGCTCATTTGAAAGAACATAGTCGCTGATTTTTGTTACAGAAACAAGGTTTCTAGTTCTTGAATCCAAAATCTCACTTATTATTATTGATTTATTAGAAGCTTGTTGCATCTCACGTATCCAAGAACTATGAGAGAAAGCAGTTGTTGAGCTTGTGTGAGTGTCTTCTTTATATGGAAGCCGCTTTGACTGCATCCATTAAGTCAATAATAAAATAATAATAATAATAAATTAATTTTTGTTTAACGTTAAAATTTGACCTGAATGTCTCGGATGAGAAGGAGGGTGGCTAGAGAACGTGAGTCAGAATGGACAATTGAGTCTTCCACAGATTCATCTGCAAGAATTAGAATCTGTTGTATTGGAGTTAGTAATTAATCATGGATTTTTGTATATATATATATATATGATTGAGGAGACTTACAGAATCAAATGTTTCTAAAGGGAGAGTTTCTAAATGTTTTTTAATAACTGCATTTCCAACACGGTGGACAAGTTTAATGTTAACAAGTCCTGAAATATCAAGTCCACCATCCACTAACTTTCTCTCTCTTTCTTTCTCCAACACCTCGTTAAACATCCATAACTCTGACCCTGGAGCCAAGAATGCTTCTAGAACCTGGTAGATTTCAAAAATAGAATTTATTATTTACTAATTATGATTCTTGAAATCTATTCATAAAGAGAGATTAATAAATATCTGTAAATTACAATTACCATAATCATATCATCAATATCACGTCGCCAACCACAAAATAATATCTTTTCTGGGAATTTTGGAGGGTCGACTTTTTTTTGGAAAGAGACCCCTTCGTACCTGTAAAAGTAAAAAAAAAAAAAATCATATCATCAAGATTTAAAGAAGGGATAATTACAAAAATTACCAAAATGGGTCCCGTTTTAACCAATTGACCACTTTTTTACCCTTCTAACAAAATTACCACCTATTGCATAACGGGTCAATTGTGAAATTACTTTTAATGAAAAAAAGGCTGCAAAAAAGATTAATTTTTTTTTCCATTTTATAAATTTTTTAAAAGTTCTATTGTGGTGGGGGCCACTCATAAAGCAAGTTCGCAATCATATTGATGCGAAATTGATGGTTATTTTTTAAAAATATTTATATTTTGGCCTCGTAATAAATATTTTGCATACAAAATTGTTTTAAAAAAAATTATATAGAAAAAAAGAAGGTTTTTATGTGAAATTATGTGTTCTTTTGTATAAATATGATTTTATAAAGCAAAAAAACATATTCGAAACAAAATTTTGAAAAAAAAGATGTAAAAAAACTAAATTTAGGCCAAAAGTGTAAATATTGGACAAATTTGTAATAAAAATTAAAATCTGGGCCAAAAGTGTAATTTTTTAAAGTGGGATGATTTGTTGACCAGGTAAAAGGGTCAAAATGAATACAATTGCGCGTTTTTTGCGACTTAGTAGAATAAAAAAAATATATAAGCACTAAATGCCAAAATATAAGGACTTTTATGGAGTTTTCCCAAAGATCAATTTGTAAAATGAGTTTACCCATTTTGGTCATTTTTCTGATTATACCCTTTAAAAGAAAGCTGTAAACTTAATAATTGAAAGTCTGACCTCTGGTAAAGGGCCAGGGGTATATGTGTCATCATCTTCAGCTATCACAAGTATCTCATCACCTTCTTTTAATATATATTCATCTTTTGGATTTATTATTATCTTCCCTCTTTCTGAAGCAACCTTTACTCCACAAGGGATCGCATCTGGAAACGAAGTAAGTACATCTTCAAACCTTAAACCATCTAATTGTGGCCACCTTTTGATATAAAATTCTGCATTTTCAAACCCCAATATATCTTCCCATATCTGCAACAAAAACAATTTCAACCATATATAAAAACATTATAAACAGATTATAATTGTGATTGTGAAAAATGAAAACTCATTTTATTTAATTTAAAGTTTAAACTACCTGTGCAAGGCCAGGTTGAAGAGCACATTGTATCATCAACCTTCCAATCACATCATGTGCAACCACTGTCTCAATCAGCTCTCCTCCAACAAGCTTCACCAAAGGTTCATTGTCAAGATCACTCATTTCAACAACAACATGACCTCTTAGCCCCTCTTTTACTCCAGTAAGACTAAGCACAACCCTCAATGCTCGTGCATCACTCTAAAAAAAATAAAGAAACTTGTTTATGGAATAAGGGTAAAATGGTCAAATGGTTAAATGTTTAAGAAGTAAGACATACCTGATCTGCATTTTCATCTGCTGCAAGTACTATTATAGCACGTGCTTTTGAAACCGAAACCTAAGAATATCAAAAGAAATTAACAAGAAAGATTTGAACAATATGGTGGGGCCCAGTGTACCTGATTTACATCTGACATCAGTGTGGGCCAGCTTAAAGATTGTTGGAAGAATAACACTTTTTGCAGAAGTGTGTATGCCAAAATTTCAGCAGCGAAAAAAAAAGGAAAAAGGAAAAAAGATTTCAGTTTTACCTTTTTCAAGTCAGCAAGTATAAGAGGACTACCACTTCTGCATATAACTGAAGTGCCCATGAAGCTGAACTCGAGTTTTGCTATATCCATCTCCATCTCCTCCTTGTCTCTTTCCGCCAGGACAACCACCACACCACCACCAATGCTCTTGTTTGCTATAGCCAGCTGCTTCAAAAGTGAACCCTGTAGTTGACCAAAACATTATCTTGTTTTGACCTTTGTGCATAAAGTAATTAAATACCAAGACTTATTAGTTATTACCAATTTGTCACTCCATCCAAGAACAAGAATGTGGTTGCTTTCAATGACTTCACTTTTCCCTTTTCGTAATGAATCTACTTTCTCTGAGATAGCATCTGAAACAAGCCCTAGCATCATTGCAAATATCAGCATCCCTCCTGAACTTATAGAGACTGAAACAATTCTTGATCCAGTGCCAACTCTATCTGCATGATTTCCTGAATCTGCCACAAATGTCCAAGAAAGCCAAAGGGCTTCTGCAAGACTACCATCACTTACAGCATATAGTGCTAAACCACCAAATGCAATGAGAAAGATAGTTGCAAAGAGAAGGGCAAGTAGTTTCGCATAAGGGTAGATAGAGAAGCACACATCCACCATGTATGCAATTCTTTTCTTTAATGGAACCTCTTCTTTGTTGTTCTTTGAACGTTTTGAGAGGTTCTTGATTTTGGGAAGATCATCAAGATATTTGTATAATACAAAAGGTGTCACAAGAGTAAACAGAACAGTGTAGAGAGCAATGTTTCGGGTGTCAGTGTTGCCAATATACACAAATGAATTGTCACTTTCATGTTTGAAAATGTCTGTGCTTTCATCATGAGGAATGTCTTTATTCAAACAAGTTTTATGAAGATCATAATTCTCTTCCTGTATGGAGAATAAACAGGCTTTAACAAAATCATCTATTTGCAAGAGTACAGAGTCAAAGAACTTGATACCTGAAGCTTCTTGACTTCATTCCTTAATGTTATTGCATAAGATGCAAACACTACACATAAAAGTGCAAGCTGCATTAAGAAATAAACGTGGCATCATCAGACACTAAACATTAAAATGCGGGATAGATGCTCTGAGGGCTCCCTGCAGAATAACAACATGACATTACAGACTTATAAACAGGATTCAAGTGATAAGTTCAGTACTTTTAACTCACACAGACAAAATTTGAGTTTTAATGGAAAATTAGGAAATGGAACACAGTTTAGTTTTATATACTCGCTCAGATTAGGACTGTATACATATAAATTCTAGTAGAGAAGAATAATTCACCAGGTTACGTATCAACGAACTCCTGATCCTGGCGTTTTTGCGAGCAGTAGAAGATGAACTCAGGGAAGACGAAGAAGTCAAATTAGAAACTGGAACTTGAGCAAGCACTGGCGGAACGATTCTCTCCGATTTAGAATCTGACCCCGGCGCCGGTGAATGTGACGTACTCGCACTCGCAGTAGCTGATTGCATTTCGCTTCCCCCTGTGGTAGCCAAACTCTTAGGCATCGAAGCGCTTCGAACCGGAGAAGGAGAAGGAGACGAAACAGGCGGTTGTTTCCTCAGTGACTTAGACGCAGAAGATTTAACAACTGTTACCCGGTTTCGAGTCGTGTTAGGTCCAAGAAATGATGGATAAACGTAATCACGATCAGCAAACCCGAAGGTTTGACCGGGAAAAGTGTCGCTGGTGGTAGTGCTGGAGCTGTCGGATGAGTCGAATGATCGTCGGGGGGACCAGGTGGAGGAGGAAGATGGTGGAAGAGGAGGAGTTGACTCGTCGGAGGAGGGCCGGCGGACGGCTGGGAAGAGTGGACCGGGGAAGTGAGCAGTGCTGGAATCAGCGATCGTCCTTGATTTCTTCAGGAGAGGACGTCGTTCTGGTAGCGGAATGTTGGGATTCCGTTTGGAATCCAGTGAATCTCCATTGCTGTTAGACATAATTTCTCCGGATCTTCACCGGAATCTATTGGCTCTCTTTATTTCTGACACACACGGTGGTAGCGAGGTTTTATCGACCGGCCAATTGTCTAGTGGTGTGTTACAGTTTGTTTTTCACCGTTGCGAAAGGTACGCACGTGCCGCCGTGTTTCTAGATTCCGCTGGCTTTACAACTTTACTCCTTTAGTAAGTTATATATGTATCAATATATGGTGTTAGAGCATCTTTAGACCTTCGGTTATGTAAACCACGAGCCATCTCGTGATGTGTACATTAGCCGTTCGTTTGTGGTTGGCCGTTTGTATGATGGTTCGTGATGGGGAGAATGACGAGCAACGGCCAATGAAATTGAATCCGATGTTTGACCAAAATATTCTAGCTAGGCATGTGCAAACGGACCGAACCGGCCGGAACCGGCCCGACCCGGACCCGAACCGGGAACCGGCTTCGGCAAAATCAAGAACCGAACCAGCCCGGCGGTTCTACCGGTTCCGGTTCCACCGTTTCCGGGTCCGGGTCTGGTTTTTGCCGGGTTTCCGATTTTGGAACCGGTCTGATTTGACACGCTTTTTTGCGGGGCTTGTAACTCATTCAATTTTTAACCAAATCAAGCGATTTTATAGTCTAAACTTAACTACAAAACCTAAACTACGTGTAGGAAAAAGATTCATGTCAAAAAAACTTAAATTGAGTGATTTATGCACATTTGAACAACAAAGTCAGATTACATTTAATTGCTGTAACATAAAAAAATTCCGATTTGACACCCTTCCTTGGGGGGTTGTAACTCATTCAATTTTTAACCAAATCAAGCGTTTTTATAGTCTAAACTTAACTACAAATCCTAATATACATGTAGGAAAAAGATTCAGGTCAAAACAAGTTAAATTGAGTGAGTTATGCACATTTGAACAACAAAGTCAGATTACATTTAATTGTTGAAACATAAAAAAGATTCTGATTTGACACCCTTCCTTGCGGGGCTTGTAACTCATTCAATTTTTAACCAAATCAAGCGTTTTTATAGTCTAAACTTAGCTACAAATCGTAATCTACATGTAGGAAAAAGATTCAGGTCAAAACAAGTTAAATTGAGTGAGTTATGCACATTTGAACAACAAAGTCAGATTACATTTAATTGTTGAAACATAAAAAAAAATTCTGATTTGATACTCTTCCTTGCAGGGCTTGTAACTCATTCAATTTTTAACAAAATCAAGCGTTTTTATAGTCTAAGCTTAAGTACAAATCATAATCTACATGTAGGAAAAAGATTCAGGTCAAAAAAAGTTAAATTGAGTGAACTATGCAATATTCAAAATTTGAGTGAGTTATCCGGTCCGGTTCCCGGTTTTTGGGCGGTTCCAATGACCGGTTCTTACCGGTCCCGGTTCCAAAAATTGACGAGATTATAGTACCGGTCCCGGCCCGACCGGTTCCATCGGATTCCGGTTCCGGGACCGGTTCCGGCCAGTTCCCCGGTCCATATGCTCATCCCTAATTCTAGCAATTGAACAGCTAACTTGTCAAAAAAAAAAAATTAACATAAATTTTAACTTTTACCTATAAAAACCACACTATACATCCATATTTCTTACACCAATCTTTTCTTTCTCTATATATACAATACACATACAATCTTTTTACAACCAAAAAACATGGAACCCAACCAAAATACTCCATCAAACTTTATAAATCGCAAACCCGATAACGCTTTTGCGTTAGATACAATTCCATCATCAGTTCCCAACCATGAAATCACCTCAAGGTGGTTTTGTCAATTTGCTTCAAACAGGTTCCCTTATCCAACAAACACAACTTTTCCAACAAAAATATCAACATTTCCTGACCTTCCAACAACAACAATTTCAACATTCCAACAATTCCAACAACCACAACCATCACCACCCCCTCATTCGCCGGATTTTGTTTCGAAAACTCAACCTTCACCGTCACCGCCTCAACCAAAAAAGAAAAAAGGAACAAACCGGTCCAACTCACCACCACCCAAGAAAGGGTCACATGGACAAAAGAGAAAGAAGAAAAGCTAGCGGAGTCATGGATTTCGACTTCCCAATACCCAATTGAAGGAGATAGTCAAACCTTCGGTTGTTTTTGGGAGAAAGTTCGAGTCATGTTCTATGATTTAACGGAAAGTGAAAAACGAAATTCTTATCAAATTAGCTCGAAGTGACACGATATTCGCCCAAAATGCATCGAATTTTGAGGAATTTACAACAACCTCCTAAACATACGAAGAAGCAGGTCAAACGATTTCGATGTCTTCAAGGTGGCTTTGGACCAATTTGAAAAAATAACGCCAACCCGCAAATTTTTCCGTATGTGAAACTGTGGCTAGAGTTGAAAGATCCTCCAAAATAGAAAGAGCAAACGGAAGGAATTCGTAATATTCCGGTTCAAAGCGTTCACGAAACCCGATGCAACTTCCCAACAATCGGACGGGCGAACACACATCGACATCAACAATGATCCGCTCGATCTTGAAGATGAGCAACCTCTTCACCGGCTAGTTGGAAGAAATAAAGCAAAAACAGCGGTTTTACGACTTCGGGCTCTAGTGTTATGGATCATTTTGGAGAGAAATCTGATTGATATGTGCAAGTTCAAGAGACGAAGGCGGAGATGATGATTCGGATGAAACAAAAAATGATTGAAGCACAAACGTCATTTCAAGAGGTACAAGAGACGCTTCAAACAAAAACCGATCGAAATCTTGAAAATGAAAGTGGACGACCTCGACGACGAAGATTTGAAGCTTTTTTCATGATGAAAGAGTCGATTCAAGTCCGACGTAGGAATAGGGGAAAATTTATTTTAGTTATGCTTGGTACTTTTAGGTTTTTTATTTTTAATGTTATTTTTTATTTTAATTAATGTAATTTTTATTTTTAATGTTATTTTTATTTTTTTTATTTTAATTAATGTAGTTTTTATTTAATGTAATTTGGTATTTTAATTTAAAGAAAAACTAGTATTTAAAAAAAATTATATGATTTTTATGTATTTTTTATTTAAATTTAATTAAAAAAAAAACGAGGTGGAGTAGTGTGTTAAGTGGTATGTATCTCATGTTAGTGGTAAGGAGTGTGGTGATAATGTGACATCCACCCCTATAGTGATTAGTGGTGGGTATAACAAATGGCCTTATGATCCAAAATAAATGCATATCATCATTTTTTTAACATAAAATTTCAAATTTTTTTTAATGGCAGTATATATAACACGCTCGCAAAAAAGCTAGCCAAAAACAAGAACATAGTCGGTTTATGAGGGGATTCTGCATCTATCTGTTTGGTTCTTTTTAACCTTCTGATTCCTACTACAAAACCAATTATTAAGAAAAACGATAGACTCAAACAACTTATCTTTCCTAAAGTTCTCATTTTCGAAGACGATCGTATTCCGATACGTCCACAACAACTAAAAATGGTTCATATAGTTTGCAAAATATTGCATTTTGAGAAAAATTTTGATAATTTAAAATGTTTTTATTGATCCCTGTGGTTTACAAAAATATTACACTTTTAATGGTAATCTTTTTATATCTTTTTTTGTTAATTTAACTAATTTTTCTATAATTATTTAAAATGTTTCATAAAAAATATTATATGTATTAAAATTTACTATAATTATTAATATATTTTGTTATGGCTTTTATTAAACTTTATAGGAAATTTGTAATATATAAACATTTATAATAAGTAATATTTATCGATTATAATATTAAATAGAATAACTAAATACTAGCAAAAATAAAAAATCTTTAAAACTTTAATATAATTAAATAGATAGTATGACATATTATTAAAATATTATTAAAATAAAAATGCTAGATGTTAAAACCAATATATTATATTAATTCTTTAATATATATTAAATGGTTAATAAAAAACCAAATAATATATATATATATATATATATATAGATATCTATATATATATATATATATATATATATTATATATATATATGGAAATCTCCGGAAAATCCCAATATTTTACTCTAATTTACGAAAAAGTCTCAAACTAAAATTTGTTTTCGAAAAAGTCCCAATTACCAGTAAAAACGACGATTTGACCCTATTTTCCCGGTTTACCGGTTTCATTACTTACCCGGTTTTAATAAAGTCCCATTATTTTACCATAATTTACGAATAAGTCCCAAATTATGGTAAAATAATAGGACTTTAATGAAAATTATGGTAAAATAATGAGACTGTAATGAAACCGGGTAAATATTGAAACCGATAAACCGGGAAAAAAGGTCAAATCGTCATTTTTTCCTGTAATCGGGACTTTTTCATAAACCAATTTTAGTTTGGGACTTTTTCGTAAATTAGGGTGAAATATTAGGACTTTTCCGAAGATTTCCATATATATATATATATATATATAATATTAATTATTTAATATATATTAAATGGTAAAAAAAACAAATAACCTATATATACAATAGGGTGTAATGATTATTTAATAATAATAATAATAATAATAATAATAATAAGTCATTAAAATACTCTTAGTTAATTATTTATAATAACATTTAATATTTTATAATATTTATTTTTATGTAAAGTATGTCATGATATGTATAGTTTTTATACGGGGCTGACACCTCCACCTACGATTGCTAGCTACAATCCCGACATGATAACTTTCTTAAAGTATAAAAGTATTATTCGACGTCTAATGAAGTGTCACGCGGGGCATATATCGTTCCACATCGTCGATTATAGGAACTCATTGTAATACTATCAATAAACTGCCTAGAGGGACACCTTCATGTAGTTGTATGATTCGATAAAAGTTATAAAGATTTAGGATAGGTAATATATCCTAAAGGAAAGAAAGCTTTTTAAGAACAGAAATAGTTTTCAATCAAATAAAAGGATAAAGTAGAAAACTATAAAAACTTGTAAACTCACAAACTTTATGTTGACGTTTTTAAAATACATGTATTCTCAAAAAAATGAATGTGGAGGGTAGCCGTGGAAGGAATGAAGTCATCAAGGAAGTCACTGGAAGTTATTTATGTTTGTTTTATGTTTAGCTATGAATAGGAACTATGTTTGAATATTGAACAATGTAATCCTGTAATAAAATTATAATAAATAAAAGTAATGTTTGTGTTATATG